ACTTCATGAACACATGTACGCTCACCAAATTTTGAACAAAATGTATAGATTATTACATGCCCCTATGCTATGAGACGTCCTCGGTGGGTCTCCTCGTACGTCGGGTCGAGCAGGTGGAATTGCGCCATCCTACAAAAAAAGTCAATGAATTAGAAATTCAATATGCAATGAAACATGAACTTAGAAATGTACAAGTAATTGACACAATTACAAGCATAATTAATTAAATGAGTACGACAAATATTAGGTAATATAATCAACAAATAATCGCACCTCACTAATCTACCAATGGAAACTTCATAAATTGTGGCCAAGTCTACCACACTTGCCGCACTCGTACTGCTCGGGGTCAGTAACAAATGGGGTTCCTCTCCCATGCCTCGTTCTTCCAGGTATCTGATCCATAACCATCCTGTGCCTTGTCCTCTTCCTTGATCCACGCTTGTTCCAACGGGTACAATAAATGTAAGACCATGCTCTTTCATATCACCTCGAAGATGGACCCACAATGTACTTCGCCCATCATATTGAGAATCACTCTCCGGGGTCCCGAAAGGCACAACATCACGGGGTTCCATGTGTGCACAAGCGTGCCGACGCTGAACTCATGAGGTATCCTACTCTTGATATTATAGTTGTGATGCCTAGCTGCTGCCACCAAATGAGAACAAAGAAAGTGGTACTGCCTTGGTTTACCACAAGTGCATTTGAAATCTTGGAGGACAACCACATGCATCCTCGACTCTCGGACCTCTCCATTGGATGTTGTACCACCCCTATGCTCGACCTGATAAGTCCCTGTGGCGTGATCAAAGCATGTAACCTCATGTGTGCTAGCCCTTTCATTTGCCTTCTCTAGGTGTGCCTTCAGTTTCAGAGCCCATATCTCTCCATCACTCATAACTTCAATGCATGGGCATGTCTATCGTTGAACCAGGCAACAAGCTTATAGAAGGTGAATTGAACGATTGCATTAACGGGCATACCACGTATCCCATTAACGGGCATACCACGTATCCCCAATAGCAACTTATTGAATGACTCCGCCATGTTGTTGCATTGAAACTTGTACCTCCATCCACTGGCGTCGTGAGCTCTCGTCCATTTCTCTAAATCCCTCATCAAACCAGTGAGCCATTGTCTACCTTCTGCATTTGATGCGGTTCTGACCTGCTCCAACTTTTTTTGAAAGTACTTGACCTCAAGCTGTCGAGCAGCCTCCTGGAATAGATCAAAGTTACCCTTCACATCATCCTTCCGGAGTAGATTCTTGGCAAGGTGCCAAGTACACCAACGATGGTGCAAAGGTGCATACCCCTTTATCTGCTCTCGCACAACATTAAGTATTCCCTGGTGCCTATCAGATATGACACCAACCTCCCTGCCAGGCCCAACCACGTGTATCCGGACTAGCCTCAAGAACCATCCCCAACTGTCATTGTTCTTCTTCTCAACCACAGCAAATGCCAAAGGAACCAAACTTGTTGTTCGTGTCACAGGATATGGCTATAAGAAGTGTGCCCTGATATTTGCCAATCAAGAACGTACCATCAATGGAGAAGACGGGACGACAGTGCCTAAAGGCCTCGACACACTAAGGGAAGCACCAGAAAGCACGGAAGAATATCTGTCTCCCATCCTTCCATGAATTTATTTTTGGGATGTACTCATAATGCATGCCTGGATTCACCGCTTTGATTGCATTGAAAAGTACTGGCAGCTGCTTGTACCCATCCTCCCAGTCCCCATATATCATCTTCCACGCTCGCTGCTTATCCCTCCAAACTTTACCATAAGTTATCACATAACCTCCATACAATGCCTCAACGGTCCTGATAATTGTCCTCACCTTCATGTTGGGTTCTCCCTGCAATATTTCCATCAACCACTTGGCAGTGAGGGTAGATGTCAACTGCCGATGCCTCAGTGTTAGCTCATGGTCAGCACAATTGTGTGGCCCAACAACTTTTGTGATCTTCCACTTTTCGGTGACCGTTTGCTTCCTTGCACAAACCCTCCATGGGCAGCGTTCCTTGTCACACACAACTGTGTGACGGCGCTCTGCATATAAATGTAAGACCATGTAAGGTCTCTTTCATATCACTGCAAATGCCTGAAACCCTTCAATGCAGGGAGGTCATTGAACACCCTCCCATTCTCAATTACCATGTTAGGGTTGGCCTCAGGAGCTTCTAGGAGCTCATCATCACGTCCTTCTTCACACGCCTGATCGGAATGAGCAAGATCGCTGAACTCGTGAAATCTTAGATCACGGTGGTCGGGAAAGATACGCCTCAGCATCTCAACATCACTCTCTGTTAGCTCTCCAACAGGGCGATCATCATCAGAATCAAGAGCCCTTGCCATCTCATTTGGCTCCGAATCATGCATAATTTCAATATTATTGGAGCTACGGAATCCATCTCCAAAGTGCACTTGCGCAGCAACAGGGGGCACATCCATATTCTCAGGAATGTCTCCTACAACATAAGTAGAGAAATGAGGAAAGAATAAAAGAAATGGATGTAAGGAAGGGGGTAAGCTCCCAAAAACCATGCGGTTAAGACACTTACTCGGATGATTCTGTGTCAAAGGGATCTCATGAGAAATATCTGTCACAACAACATGAGTCTGACAAGCATCTCCAACTACCGTATTGGGGGCAGATTGAGCATCGGAAACCTAAGATGCAACCTCCACATTCATATCAGGTTCCGGAATGGGAGGGTCGATGTGTGCCTGCTGATACATTGGTGGGGAAAACCCATGAGGGATGGGATCAACTAACACCCGACGCATAACCACATCCAAACATTGCAGCTGGCTCTTCATAGCCGATCTCACATAGTTCTCCTACTGATCTGCACAACCAATTGGGATCATTCGTCTGAGGATGTTGGGGGGAGAACCTAGGTGCAGTACACCATCAACTGCAATGCCATCATCTCCAAGGCAATGCAGCTCCTCCCGAGCCCTTGCAACCATCTCACTAAATGAAGGCTTATCATTGAATAGCATAGGCACGTTTTGCATGTCAACAAACTCAACATATCCATAGCGATCGTATTCAATGGTGCCTCCATGATATATGATCACTAGGTTGTCCATCTAGTTCAAACACATAACAAAACACATGTCCTTTAGTCCAAATTAGACGGTACATAGTACCTAACAAGTACTTTCTAACTACAAACTAAGTAAATAAGATAACAGCTAGATCATATTTAGTTAAGTAAATATGTAACTACCTATCTAAGTAGCTACCTAACTATATCTATGTACCTATGTATTTATGTTTCTATCTATCTACATATATATCTCACTAGATCACTAACTAAATCAACTACCTAAGTCATCACATTAACTAGTAAATAACAAATGCCAACTAAGTAGCTACATTGCATATTCACAATTTTTACCTTTCCAACGACTGATCCGCGGACGTCGAGGGAGTCGCAGTGACGCATCGTGGGTCGTGATACCGACGAACCGAGGCAAGTCCACTGAATCAACCAAAGCAACCATGCCGCCGAGCTGCAGAGCATCGCCGATGGTGGCGGGATGCCCTTGCTCAAACCCTTAAAGCTTCTAAAAATCCGCCTCGGCCATTCATATCGGCACGCTCTGCACCGGGGCAGCCGGTTGATCCAATGAATCCAAGCTCCTCGAAAAACCCTTCCTCTTTAACACTTCTTCTAAGAAATTCCACCACCTTATCATAGGCTTTTTCAAAAATCCAGCGAATAACTCCACTTGTTTAAACATCCTTAGCTCATGTAGCACTTCTTGCAAGATAACGCCCTTCTAAGATGTTTCTCCCAGGCGCGATGCCGAAAGGACTAATAATCTCGCAAGGAGGTCAATCTAATCGTGAGGGACTTGCGAGGGACTTGGGATCACATGGGTGCGACATGCGGTCGGCGCGGGCGGCATGAGCGCGGGCGCCGGCCTTAGCGATAAGAGTGATCACCCCATAATTTGCTCCAAATGACCATCATGCAAATTATGCGATCTCCTTTATATCCTCTCGCGGATGGCCGTAAAGCTTTAAAAAAGAACTCTAGAAGAAACCATCGGCGGGGCGCGTGGCTTTCATCTGCTTGATAGCTAGGTCCACTCCTCTAGCTCTGCTCGCTTAGCTTGGGCGTCCTCAGAGAGGGAGAGGAGAGGAGGAGAGGCGGGGCCCTGCCACAATAATCGTAATAAAGGGATTATTTATCTCTAAACCATCAACTTCTAACATAGATACCGGGGGCGCATTTAAGCTCCCCGAGCAACCATGTCACCTCCACGGGGTCTCGAGCCAAGAGAGCTCAGCGCGCCGCATAATATCTCTCCTCCCATTCTTCCCAAGTAAAGGTCCAGATTCTTCAAATCTTTCCTCCCAGAGATGTATCCTCCCCTTTGTCAAAACTTTGAAAAAAAGAGCTAAAAAAATAAAAAATTCGGAGACAAGGCAGCGATGGCCAGATTAGGGCGGTGCGCGGACGCCTATGTCCATAGGAATTGCAGGCCAGGGTAGGCAAACCAGAGGGAGGTCACACCAAGCTACACGCCGCACGCAGGTAGAGACATTCGAGAACCTGGGCACCTGTCGCCAGCAGCGACCGAGGCCTCGGCGTGAAAGCAAGCCTGAGTGCGCGAGGACAAGCACAACACAGTTGGAAAGAACAATAGTCCAATGCCGAGTAGAAACAGCCACCACTGGAAAAGACAGGACACGGGTAGAGGCAGGAAGCATCAGTGGAAAGTGGCTTGTGCGAACACGCCTCCTGCCTATTTAAGCCGCGCTGCAGTGCCCGGCTCAGTGCACAACAGCAACTCATCCTGCATCCATCTTGGTGAGCGAGCGAGAGACCTAGACTGACTGATAGGTCAAGTAGAGTTTGTGCATGTATATATGCTTTGTTTTTTCAGTACTGTTTGGAGATTGTTCCTTGTTGCTTGATATGGTTGTTTGTGCTTCCTAGATCTGATCTCAGTTGAGGAGCAAGAGAACCATGGCAGACCAGCAGCAGCCCCAGCAGCAGGAGATGAACGTGGTCCATGCCGGTGGCCTTGACCTGCCTCCAGGGTTCCGCTTCCACCCAAATGACGTTGAGATTGTCAGTGACTACCTGATGAACAAGGTGCGCAACACAGACTTCACCTGCATCGCCATCGAAGAGGCCGACATAAACAAGACTGAGCCATGGGACCTTCGGGGTATGTAACAAAGCATCCTTGATCTATACATACATATACACCTAGTTCTTGTTTGAACCGTATAGTGGATATGCATGCTGCTATGCTAGTGATCGACTAATATATGGCGCTTGATTCACATGTTGTAGATAAAAAGACAGCGACAGGCTCCTCAGCAATGTTTAAAATAGCCGGCTAGAAGCTATAGCCAGATTTAGCGGATTGGCATGGCTGGCGCTAGGAGACTTGCATTTTATCGCTAAACAATCGTGACCGCTAATAGCGGCGATTAGCGCGCTAAAAACGCTAAACAGGGGCAACTTAGGGTCGCTAAGCATTTCTTGGCAGACTGGTGGGCCGAAACAAAGTGGGCTTCCTATATTTCTCATCAGGCGGTGGCCCAAAATGGCAGTGGCGGCCCAAAATGCCACCCTAACCCTAGCAAGCGCCTGATTCCACTCACCCTTTCGACTTGTTTGCTGAAAAAAAGCATCGGCGGCGGCGTCGTCCTCAGACGAAGACGAAGACTAGACCCGGTGACCACCGCAGCAGTGCAGCCATCTCGCCCGGGCACGGCGACGACGTGCAGGCCCTCCACTGCAGCCACAGCGGCCATCTCGCCATGGCACTAATCTGGGCTGTCGGCGGCGATGTGTTGCTGCTGAGCTCGCCACGTAGCCGCTGGTTTTGGCTGCCAAAGTGCGACAGGTAGTCCCTCAGTGTGAGCACTTGATACTCTGTACCAATGGGAGCAACAAGCAAGCAAATTCTTCTCTTCTTCTCTCGGTAGTCCTCTGTTCTGGTGTATTTCTCGCTGATTTGTGACATGTATTTTACAAAACCGCTAAATGAATTAGCGGACGCTATATCCGGCTATATCGTTTCTAGCGGCTGGGGAAACTCCTCAGCCCCGCATCCGCATCTAGCTCAGCCGTCAACGCCGCCACAACCATGAAAGCTTCAAATTCTGCTTTCAAGGTGCGTGGTAGTGGTAACAGCACTGATATGATGCGTGCATCCATCTGCTACTTGCTTTATTTGCTTACCCTAATCTGATTTTGCTCTCGATTTACAAATGAAATTCGTGCAGGATGAGTGGGTGGTCTGTCGCGTGTTTGAAAAGACCACTGGGATCAAGAAGACGACTACACCAGCATACCAGGTCACCATGGCCGGCGCTGAGATTGATCAAATCAGAACAACATCCCGGCCATCCCCGTCCCCATGCCGCTGCAGCTGCCGCTACCTGTGTTGATGCCCATGCAATTTCCCATCCTACTAGATTTCGGCATGGACCCAGTGGCTCCCTGCTACCCTAATGCTGGTGTGGGGATGCAGGCGATGATGCCGCCTATGGCAGGTATCGGTGGCGCCGGTGGGCTCCAGATCAATGGCGCCATGTTCGGCAATCCGATAGCCACGCCGCCGCAGATGAACATCTACCACCAGATGGGCATGGGGGCTGCAGCTGGCCAGATGGACATGGGGGTTGCAGCTGGCCAGATGGGCATGGGGCAGCAGCTGGCCAAATGGGCATGGGAGTAGCAGTTGCCCAGATGGACATGGGAGCAGCTAGTGCTGGCGGCTTTGATGTTGCTGCACCAGAGAGTTGGCCGTCCTCGATGGTGTCGCAAAAGGACGAGCATGTTAATGCCGCTGAGATCTCGTCGATGATGTCCGTGACTGGCCCAGGGTCCGCAACCACCACCATAGAGATGGATGGCATATGGACGTACAAATACTGAAGAAGTGAACATGGAGGGTGGAGGCAAACACATGACTTCGCATAAATATGCATGTTATATCTATATCTGCATTGCATTTGCATGGTTTGTATATTTCCGTAATAACTAGTCGGTAAGCTATGTGTGTATGCATGTACCAGTGTATGCATCATACCATTGCATGTGTGGTATATGTGTGTCATTTGGTCTTACTAATCTAGTGCATTATGGTAACCATACCTGGATATATGACATCTGCTTGGTCATGCTGATGGTTGTATTGTAAGAAGCAGATTGGAGTTCGGTACAATATTATCATGAACCTATATATTATAGACATGCCAATTATAGTATGTTGTTTAATTATATGAACTTGATTGCCAAATTAAATGTTAAACTGTATGCATTTATATTGTGCTCTTTTTGTTAAGGCTACTTACCGAATGTGCATGTGATAGTTGTCACGCATGCACACCTCTGCGGCTGTCGCATAGGAACAAAACAAATCTTGTGGCGCTGGATCAACATTATATTTGTTGCCTATCAATAACAGCTTGCAACACGATTTTCTCGCTCTCCCCCAATAACCCCACCTCTTATCCGTGCACTCCAGATCTAAACCATGGGTGCCTCATGAGGGTTGTCCTCCTCCATATTTAAGTATGGAGATACTAGGGTCTCGTGGTTATGGACTGCATATAAATTTAACTTCAGGAAGCTCGGTTCACCAGTAGTTGAAGAGGCGGTGTGAGGGGGTGACATTTGAAGTAGTTTGTATTGGTGTCGAAAGAAGCTAGCGATGGTTTGCCTCTAGAGCTGTGCAGGATCGGGTGTAGTGGATAGCAGTGAGCGGCCTCCTTGGTTAGTGGATTGGAGGGCAGTCTGAAGGTCCTATGGGTGGGCAGTGGCGGAGGCCGCGGTAACAGGGAATGTCAAAAAATTAATATTATTTCTTCGTTATAGATACATCCTTATAGGAAAGGCCAATTGTTGGGGGATGAGCCATTTCATTTGTTTGCCCTCCTTTGTTTCTCTTTTGTTTCCACTCAAAGGGATGCTGCAGCTAGTGCCCATGAAGCCGTAGGCACCAACAACGATCCTGACCACTGGAATCGCCACCCAGGCAATCCATAAGGTGCCCCCCATCGCCCTCCCTTTCCTCCGTGCAATTCTTGATAGCATAATATAACACGTATCAGAGAAGGTATTGTGCGAATGGAAATTGGCGCAAATGGGAATGTCGTCAACACCAAGGCATTTTGATGCTGTGAAATTGCACATGAAGAAGAGATATTTTAGAGTCATTTAAAAGGTATTTGATTGAATATCTACAACTAAAATATCTGCAGGTGACATAATTTTCTATCTTTTTAGAACTATCATATAGTGTTTTTACCTCTTCTGAAACACAATGCCCTATGTGACCGTGTCCATAATTGAAGAATTCACCACAATATTGATAAAAATAAAGGGGTCACAAGAAATCAGGCCTCTTTAATTCTGCTATCCAAACTCATGAGCTTAGAGAAATTCCCACCAATTATGGTAAGTACACATGGAATAATAATCAAACTTATCCTATACTCTTGAAAAGTTGGATAGAGTTCTAAAACTAGGGAATGGGAGGATCTGTTTCCTTTGGCAAGAGCTATCAAGATTGTTAGGCAGATACCTGATCACAACCCTATTATTATAGATAATGCAACAACAAAAGCATATAGAATTCAGATTTGAGCTATTCTGGCTTAAGGATCCTAAATTCTTTAAACATGTAAGATTAATTTGGGATAAGTGTGTCTGTCAGAGCTAAGACAACTCTTGATGGAATCCAATCCAAGCTTAAGGCTTTCAAATTTTTTTCAAATGCCAGGTTTTAATAGTTTGGGTAATAATAAAAGGAAAAAGGAAGGAATATCAATCTAAACTAGAGCTTCCAGAACACTTGAAAGAAATTGTTGATCTAGTTCAGGAATAGCTTACTAGAAAGGCAGAGATTCAATCAGAGGTTTTTAAGTTGTTGGATTATGAAGAACTCTATTATCTCATAAGATCACATGAAACCTAACTTCTCAAAGGTGATATGAATTCTGAATTCTTTCACGAAGTTGACAATGTAGAAAAAGAAAGAACTATATCCTATTTTTCCAGGATGTTGAAAATAAAATTGAGGGAGAAGAGAACATCATTGCTCATGCCACTGAATACTATAAAAACTTACTTGGGCCAGCACTTGGAAACATAATTTCAATTAAATAATCATTTTTGGGAGACAAATGAGGTGGTAAATTCTCAGGACAATGAGGATTTATGTAAATATTTCACTAAAGTGGAAGTAAAAGATGCTCTGTTAGAAATGGAAACCAACAAAGCTGCAAGACCTAATGCTATTCCTATAGAGTTTTATCAGTCTTGTTGGGATATAGTTAAAGGTAAATGTTAGTACAATTAACTATGGGATCATTACCCAGCTTCCTAAAACAAAATATGCTTGTAAGCTTCAGCAGTTCAGACCTATATGTTTGTTGAATTGCTTATACAAGTTGGTTACAAAAACTCTTGACACTTCGAATAGAGAAGGTAGATAAAAAGCTTTTTCATAGAACTCAGTTTACTTTTATGAAAAACAGAAATATCATGAATGAAATCCTTGATTTACAAGAAACTAAGATAAGTAACTCTCCTGAGCTCATTTTTAAGCTAGACTTTGAAAAAACATATGATAAGGGCATTTGGGCCTTTCTTTTAGAAGTCCCTTAGGATGAGGGTATTCTCCAATAGATGGTGTTCTTGGATAGAACATGTGGTAAAGCATGACACTATTTGTGCTAAAATAAACAATGAGATGTGGGCCCTGTTGACAGTAGTTAACATTCATCATAAACCGTTAATATAACTTATATAAATGCATAAAAAGGATTACCAACATAGGTCTAGGGGTTTAAACTAATAAATTCGATACACAAGTTTTGGTGAATTTATGTTTACAGGAGGATTTACTTAGAAAATCATCAAGGAGGTCCTATTCATCAAAGCAAATCATGTTTATCCGTAGCAAAACTGACGTGGGAAGACTTTAGAAGACTCCAGAAGGCAAACCACCGAAGCAGAAGGCAGGTGGCTGCCATGTGGGGCCGGCTAGCCCCACCTGTATGCCGCCCGACACCTGGGGCCCCCTGTCAGCCTCCACATCACAATGTCGGTTCTCCACCGCCTCCTAGGATGCATCTACGCCTTCCTTTAAGTCGGTTTGAACACTCCGGCCTATATATACCAGCCCCTACCCCCCTCTCTAGAGCATCCCTTAAACACTAATTCATATCTCTCCTTCAGAGATCAAGATACACCAGGAGGATTAGGTCTAGACTCTCCAATGTAGTAGAGTAGTAGCTTGGGAGTGAGGGTCGAGTTGAGCTCATGCTCAAGTTTTGGATCTAGTCTTGGAGGCTCGGCAAAGTCTTGTATCTTCACTTCTACATCTTGTAAGACTTATTATCAATTCATCATATTCCTATCTACATGGCTATGCTTACTTTTAATATGTATCTTGCTTAGTTGAGGTTATCATTACTTTTGTGTGCGGGTTCATAGAGCGTTTAGCCTGCTAGTTTACCATGGTTGGGTTAAGTAGCCGAGCCGCGTGTAAACATGGTGCTTATACGATGCTCTGCCTGTGAGTACACCCTGTTCTCTGGTTATATGGTAGCAGCAGGAGGTGACAGCCTCGTCTATCCTTTGTAGTCCATACCGAATTGAGTATGTTCTTAAATTGTAGGACCGTAGTCGCGTCAGTAGAGTTATCTATTGTGGGTGCTCTACCGTCTAAGCGGTGTCCCGAAGTGCACAAGAGTAGAGTTAGTGTCACACCCCAAAATTTCTAATTTTGGGTTGTGCATAGAAAACACTAATTAAAATAAATGTTTTGATATTTGCATAAAATTTACCAATCTTAGTTTGAACTAGCGTAAACTTAGTTATAGGAAAAATGTGAATTTTCAAGCTTTTCCAAATTAATTTGACGAGCTATTGCTTGATGTGATGCTTGGTTGTTGATTTATTTCATGTTGTGAAAAAAGATTTTAAAAATACGTTTAGTAAGTCGATCTTCTTTCTCCAGCAATTCTTAGTCTTTCTCACCGATCAAATTCCTTGTTTTCCGACTTAATATTTGCTTGAGAAGTATCCTAAAATCTTTTCCATGGAATCCAAATCACTCCTTCCTGCTCACTATTCATCAACCTATCTCCATGGATACCTCGGGAATTTCTTTGGCTTTTTCCGGAACTTGTTCTCACTTGTTTGTGAGCATAATCTAATTTTTAAATGCTCCAAAATATCTTTTCATGAGCTTCAAATATTTTATTTGGGTTTGTCTTGAGAATTTTCCCTGAATTTTCGAAGCCTTCAGAGTATTTTTCGTGGCTTAAAATTCAATTCTGGACTTTTCTAGAATTATTTTATCCATGAAATTAATTAATTACGAAAATAATAAAATATCTCAGATTTCCTCATGCCCAAAGACCCATGTCTTTATTTACTAATGAGCTTTAATAATTAATTAGGCCTATTAGTAAAGGTGGAGGGTGCAACATCAATTAGTACCATATTGCTAGTTGATGTAGATGTGAAGAGTTTTTCTTCCTATATATATCTACCAACCCTTTAGGCAAAACATATCAAAACTACCATATGAGGAGCCTCTAGTTTAGAAAATACCTCGTATAGTAAATTATATTTTTCTCCTCCACTCGCTGTCGCCGTCGTCGTCGCCGCCGCACTGCCCGTTCATAGTTGTTGGTTGTCCGTGCTACATCGAGAGCCATC